AGAAGGAGAAGGAGAAGGAGAAGGAGAAGGAGAAGGAGGAGGAGGAGGAGAAGGAGAAGAAGAAAAATAAGAAAGTCTGAGCTTCAGAGAATCCTAAACCTTTGCAATCTATGCTCAGTCTTTTTCGCAGGTCATCCGAAACGTGGCCAAAAACGCCGCGTCCATGTGGACTTCGATAAAGCCAAGGTCCAGCATGTTGTCAGGGACATGGAGAAGGCGTGCTGAGCTGCGGAGGATGGGACTCAACCTTAGCAAATTATTTCAAGGGTAGGGTTACTTACCTGAAATAACATAGGTACCCCACGTGGTGTCGGGAGTCAAATAGATTTTCTGACGATTTGCTTCTTTAGGGAGCTTATATGGAGAGCCATTGAGCGATATTGACTGCTTGTAGTTATTGCAGAAGTACCCCACCACGATCCAACGCATGCAATTGTTTGGTATTAGGAGTCAGTAGATTGCAAAAAAAAAACACACACTATTAAACCATATTTGGTGTGTACACCACTGCTTTGTGAAATTATTTCACAGGTTGGGAAGGTTTTGGCATCCCTTGCAATGTTTCAGCATCTATGTCTCCCTACCCTACCTAAAGGTTCTTCCCAAATAATTATCATTCCCCAGAGCCGAAATTCCGAGCATGTCTAGATTTGCAAAATAACGATGTGCCGTGGTAGGTAAAGGACCTCAATTTTTTAAAAACATATTTCAGGGGTAGTGCCACCTACGTACCCATAGAGACGCTTTCCCAGCCATTTGGCTGTGTGAAAACAGACCAGCGAAAAGAACTCAAACTGATTGGGCCGTGTTCCATCAGCAAGTTGCAGCATTTTTGTCCCATGTCACAACGGATGTCTTCACAGCCAAAGGTTGGTGTCATGGAGAATGTGAATGGCTGGGTGAGCGTGGCAATGGCCAGCTGCCCAGTTTGGGACGCCTCACCTTGTGAGTCATGTTGGTCCCATGGGAACCGCGGACTCCACAACGGGAAACAGTATAACCGGTGTCGACCTAGGAAATGAATTTGCAAGATATGAACCTCTTTGACCATGTGCGCTCCTAGGTCAAAAGCACAAGACACGGGAGGTCGATGATTGTGAGTTGCCAAGGAGTTACACTTGCCGTTCCATCCGTTTTAAGTTTCTGAGGTGGTGTATGCCATGTGTCCCCCCGGCAACTGACATCTACGTGGAACCTTCAGGCTGCACCTCTATACATCTCATTTTCCATGGCCACTGCCATGACTTGAGTGGTTTCGGTGCCAGTTTTGTCCTGTTTTTTGGGTGAGGTGATCAGGTGGACTCCCGTCCCACCTCCTGTCAACTCATGAGTTTCATTTTTTTGCAGTGATGTTCTGAGGTAATCCTGACGATGACCAGAACTGTGTTCTGTCAGAGAAGGCGAAGAAGAAGCCTGCGGCTGAGAACAATCCCAACCCATGGCAGCGAAAGGAGCCTTGAACTGCAGCGGAGGAGTTGGTCGGCTACAAAACTGGCTTGCTTGGTCTGCAGAAAACACACTTCTTCTGCTTTGCCTTTGAGAACTCGCAGGTGGCCATTTGAAAGATGGATATTCCGCCGCCCGATGCTCCCATCCAAACTTGCCACGGACCATGGTGGGAATTGGACATCCATGGGTTGGAGTAAGCCCCTAAGGGATCGGGTGCCTTGCCGCTAGCAGCTACACCAAAGGATCGGTTCGCACACCTGAGGACCTTAAGGAGTCGTCCATGCACCAATGCCAGCAGGTGAGAGCCTGAGGCAAAAGCGTGTCAAAGAAGCGAATCGGCTTCTCAAGGGCTTTTGGGCCACCAAGCTGTGAGAAGCTGCAAGCATTGATTTCCTTTTTTTTAGATTATTCAGTTGATTGTTTTTATTTTTATTTTTAAATCAGTTTCCTTTCCTTCCGTTTGCGAGACACTTCAGCGAATTCTCAGATGTCTTTTTTTGTTGCCCCAATTCTTTGTGTACGCATGTGCAGACACATTGCAAGACAAATGGCCTTGGACTCTTGAATCTTGAAAGAAACCCGTCACCGATAAACCATGTGGTTGAATATTAGCTCCATGGGACACAACATCATCATTTTTACTTGCTGAAAATTGCTGAAATGACATTTGCTTTTGCAGATCCCAGTCCTCCGAAACTTCTTGAGTCTGCGTCTTAGGATGCTCTCTTAGCCGGTGAGCCCCCTTTTTTGCCACAACCAGGTCTGGGTGCGGCGGCTGACCAATGGGCAGGTGGCCCTGGTTGCAGTGAACTTTGCCTCCAAGGCCGGCGCCATGTTGCATTTCTTTTTGCGAAAGTTCTCTTTCAGGAATTGCCTCCAACCTAATAGCAATGGCCTCCAACCATAGCAATGGCTTCCAACCTAATAGCAATGGCCTCCACCTAATAGCAATGGCCTCCAACTTAATAGCAACTAGCAATGGCCTCCAACCTAAGAGCAATGGCCTCTAACTAGATCAGATCCACTGGGCGGGTGGTGGTGCGGTGAGTTGTACGCGGCGTTCTTCTTTTTTTGCACGGCTGAGTTGTGAGTTGTGAGTTGTGACTTCGATTGGGCACATTCGTGTTCTATTTGATCTGTTGGAACTTGGGAACCATTGGAGTAGGCTCACAACCAGAAGAAGGGAAGGACCCAACGGACAATGGAAAGACTCCCAAAGATTTGGGTCTCCCGCCAATGAGTTGTGGTCTATTTCCCTTCTTTCATGGTGTCAAACGGGGGGTCGAAGACGAATACGACTACACACCCAATTTGATCATGGTATCAGTCACTCCAGTTGACTTTCGTTCGCAACTGGTAGTACCCTCGGTTCAGGCAGCCACCGTGGATTTGCCCCTCTCGCAGCTGCGTTTGCCCTGGGGTGATGAGACACCAGCACCTCGCTTGGAGAGGTTTGCCGTGTTGGAGTTGGAGGATGTAGATTTTTTCGGCGAATTCAAGAACCCTTAATAGATTGTAAGTGTAAGGTTCTTGCAACATTGGGAACAGCACGCATTTGAGGAGAAACATCTTGTCGCTGGATCAGCCGCTCTAGTTGACCATGGGTCTAACTGCAGCTGGGGATGTTGGGATGTTGCGCAAGCTGATCCCTGCCCTTTTTGCAGAGACATGGTGCAACTGAGCCAATCCCACTGCGCTGTAGGGGCTTGCCTCTACGACCCCAAGTGGAGTCATACCAGGCGGCAAGAGGTCTTTGCCAGATGCTTTGCCACCTAGCCTTCAGCAATGATGTACAGGTAGATGACCAACACGCGTAGGGTTGGTGTAGGTTGGTCGCCAGGGGAACACCCACTGATCAACCACCAGCTTCCGCGCAGCTCTCACCCGGATTCCCTGCCATCGCTGCGGTTCGCACATCCCGAGTCCATCCTTTGGGACGTGTGGCACGTGGCGAAAGCTCCAGAGCAAGTTCACGGACACTTGAAGTTGGCTCCTTGAGATGAGACGGGAAGTCTTGGGATGTGTTCTTCTGGTTTTCCAACGGACACGTTCGACGTCTTGATTCGGCCGGAAGACTCGGAGCGAGCCCAGACCGGCGATCTCGCCATAACAACCCTTCGCCTTCAAAGCTGTGGAGCTCGTGGAGAATAAAACCACTCAAAAGAGTGCTTTTTTTGGTCGCTGTTCTGGGGATCAGAGGAATTTGCCCGTTAATTTCTTCTAGGGTCTCCAGGTTCCTGTTTCTGGTGTCGAACTTCCATGGACTTTTGACTTCAAGTACGGGATTTAGAGACCATCGCCTGGGCAGCTGGTTCCTTGTTTGGTGGTGGCGTTAGGGCCTTCTCTATTTCCTATGGCTCTAGAGGTGGAGAGGGCACAGACAAATCATTTCATAATTCCGGGGAAATGCCACACGCCACGACGCTGTCCCCTCATTCTGTGCTGTTGTGGCTGTTCTCCCCGACTTTGGACTTGTCCTTTTCCTGTCAGATATTGATCGGAACTTGTGTCACTAAGGCCTTGGAAGCCAATGGAGGTCATTACATGCTGAAGCTGGAGCAAAAGAGTACTCAGGAGGAGCAGTCCGGCAGTTCCCTTTTATTCCCTTCAAGCAAACAAGACTCAAACTTGGCCAAGTGGCCAAGCGGTGTGGTACAGCAACTTTTGCAGCCTTTGCCGTGGGAGCTAGCGAAGGTTAGGGGTCTTCAAGCAAGTTCTGGGGAAGGTTCTGCAGCAAATTCTGGGAACAAATAGCTCAGCGGGTTGAGGAGCAGGTTCCAGAAGAGGTTCCGGAACGTTCTGGAAGAAGTTTTAGAGGAGGTTCCAGAGCGAAAGCTTGGCAGCAAGTTTGCAGATATGCTGACATGATGCTCCTTCTGACATTGTCATGGTGCAATGCTGGCATGTTGTCATGCTGCATGTTGACATTCCATCAGGCTACCATGCTTGCATGGTGTGCGGTGCCATCCCGACATTCTAACATGTTGTCACTCTTTTGTGCCAACGCGAAAGCACGCTGTCATGCTGATGTGCTGCGCTTGCTGACATGCTAACGTGTTGTCATTCTGGCAAGCTGACATGGGTCACACCAACGTGCTGACATGTTGCTACGCTGAGATGCTGAAGTCGGGTCATGTTGAAGTCATCATGCCGGCAAACTCCAGAACGGGTTCCGGAGCAGATTCCCCAGTTCTTGCTTGTTACGGCGTTGTCATGGTTGCACATATTATGTGGGTGCTTGTGCTATGCCGACATATTGCCGTGCTGGTTTGTTCGCATGGCACTTTGAGACAAGTTCAAAACCGCACTGTCTGGTGAAGACACCACTTGTTGGTGAACTTGCGATAGGCGAGTTCGCGCTCAGCTGTTGGGTCTTTTCTTGGGCCGTGTGGTAAGTTGCAGTTACTTTCTGTGAGTAGACCATGGCTGGCAGCCCTCAAGGCCAGCACGTCCCATGCGCTTCTGTCACCGCTCTCCTCACACACACACAAACTTAATTGAGTCGCAATGACAGGATGGGACCATCCACTGGTTGTGGTCGGCTTTCTTTTGGCAGCATACGGCCATCCAAATACTTTGGCACGCACGCCTTCTTGTGGCGGCCGCATCAACCGCAGTTGCCTCGATCAGGATCTCCCAGCCAAAGATTTCAAGGAGGCAAGTGGGAACATTCCACGCGTGGGAACATTCTCTGCATGATGTTTTGTTTGAGAGGCCTTTGGCACAGTTTTTACATCCAAGAAAGTGACTGGCCATGTGCAGGAAAAGAAAGGCTGGTTTCGAGAGGGTAAAGGGGTGCATGTAGAACCGATGAGAACAGCCCCTCAAACGCCCAGCTTCTTCATTTTCACCTGAAATCTGGGAGCAACCTAGAAACCAAGAGACCTTCACGTCTTCAGCCGTTTCCAGCCTATCAAGTAAGAATTGTATATGCACGATCCCTCAGATTGTGGCAGCCCCAAAACGGACACTCCCAAAAGGGCCTTTGACCTCCAAGTGCCCGCAACTGATTGGGCATCGTCTACTTTCCAGTAGAACTGCTGGCGGGCGTGGGGATTCCCAAAATTGGAGGCCCAAACACTGATGATTTTTGACGGAATATATACATATATATTATATATATATACCTTGGGCACGTACTGGTCTTTGCCAAAGTTTCGATGGTTTGATGATATACAAAAATATTACTGTATATATATATATATATTTCTTTTTCTTTATTCTTTTTTCAGTTTAGGAGGTGCAAACCCAGCTCCCCAGCCACGCCGTGGTGGCGAAGGTCTCGCTGCGTGCGAGCTTGCAGATGCCCAGTGACCCGCTGGTCAACGGCTCGGTGCAGGGAACGGGCACGATGACGGAGTTTGTGATGGGCGGCTTTTTGCCGATCACGAACGATGGCACAGGTCCGATGGTGATCGATGGGTGCTTTGGAGGTTGTTTGGGGCAGGTGGTTGTAGAGTTTCGCAGACGGAAGAGGTAGCTGAAACAGTTGCAAAGATGTATTCTCATGAGAGGAATAGGTATTCCCGAACGTGTCCAGCAAAAGTTTGAGTGAGACAAGTGAGATAAATATCTCACACTTGAGTAGTGTGACGCCACCACGCTAGTATATAATTTGAGCCCGAAAACTAGTGGACTACCTCATTGACACCAGTTTGATGCAGCCAACAGTTTGCTTATTTCTTTCTCCCAAAACCATCCAAAGCCTATCAATTCCTTGGTTTTGCCGCTTCTCAAAATTCCAGTGCGAACCCCGCACGCGCGGTACGACCTAACGAGGGGCCTGGTCAATCTTCGCGCTTCTTCTGCTGGTGCCTGCGGTCCTTTGGTTCTGCCGTGGCCAATCAAAGTCTCCACACCGCCTGGACTAAAGCAGCGGCTGAAAACGACGAGAGACTCGGGCTTCGACGAGGCCGGATGAAGAAATGGAGGAGAGAAAGTACTTCTTTGTGAGTGCATAGGGATTGATACACAAACCATAATGGGATTGGTACACAGGGGTTCCTCCATACTTCGTATGAACTCTTGTTCCTTCGAAGTGGTAACCACTTTCTTCTCTTTTCCGTGCTGCAAAGGACGCGAGCACAGCACACCTATTGTGACCATTTGTCCCTTGTCCATTGAGCATGAGGGAAGTTTCGGGTCCATGGGCCAGGCTCGGTATCAGCCTGGCCACATGGAGCCACATGGTATCATCCCCTTTTTCATCCGACCTCTCACTTTCTTTTCCAAGCCTCATGTGGGAATCTATAGCATGTGTATATATATATATATATTCAACGGACATTTTGCATATGATGGTATGATATAGTTTGGCCTGCCAAGATGCCCCTCCCCTGTGAAACTGAGGTTTGAATCGGTGATGATATTCGCTGTGTCTCATACAGGCACTTTTTCATGGTTCAGGTGCACCAGTGTTTAGGCCTTTAGATGCGTTTAGGCACTCCCCTAGCGTAAGAGAATGCTCCCAAAACCACGGAAAGCTCCTTCAACCATGAGGTCACCAATGAAAACCATCCCTGCAAAAAGCCCTTGTCTTTCACCTTTGCAGGATGCATCTGACAGTGCCAAAGGTGCCTGTCAGCGCTGCCTGTCAACCACGCCTTCGGCACTTCAGGTGTCAAAAAAGGGAGGGTGGAGAGCACCAAGGTCTGCAGACGATGAAGGTCGTTTCTTTTTGGTGTTCGATATTAACGATATTCACCATATTTAGATTGGCAGCTCTTGACTTCTTAGAAGCTGCTTTTGAGTACTATTGGGCCAAGCCCTTGGCCCCTTGGGCAAACTTGACCTTGCACTCAAACGAAACCATATATTGACATTGAACTCGTATCGGCCGGCCTTGGATGAAAGCAACACCTTGCCACACCGATTCTGCAGCCATCAAGCGATTTTGACCACGTCCATGTCGACGTCAGGTGTCATAGGCCGATAGACTCTTGCTTGAAGTTTCCAGCGATTCTTTTGACGTTGTTTTGGTTTGTCCTTTTCTTTCGTGGAGTCCATCGATCTCTTCTTGTCTCACTTGTTCAAGCGCGTCCGGGCGCCCAGACGGCCCGAAATCAAAGTCTGGAGGCCCTTTCTGTGTCCTCATCCTCAATGAGCAAGATAGTCTCGACAGAATGTGAACGAACATAGAGTCTATCGGCCTATACAACTTGTACATGATGAATCACACTTAAACATTGTTTCAATATGGTTGTCAGCATGACATGGCCCATGTTTGCTTGTCCGACTCATGCTGCAATCTGCCGAGGCCATGGTTTTGCCACCGGAGCTGAACATCTATGCAGAGAATATCTTAAGGCAATCAATTGTTGAGTCCGTTCCTGGGACAGGCGGAAGTTGCTTTTTTGTTGTGAGGGCTTTTGATATTGACCAAATGGGACAGGCGGAGCACCATGATCCTCTACAGAATCATTCATACATGGACTCTAGCGTCCGTTTCTTGAGCATTGCCAGGCGATTCCCGGAGGAGTTTATGGCTCTGGGAGCTCCAAATTTAGAGGAGAACCCAGCGATATTTCGGTTTGTTCGAGTTTGCTGGTGCTAGCGAGGTTTTGTGAAGAGTTGAGGATCTTTGGAGCAGTCGACTCTTCTGTCAATAACCCAGGGTCGTAGGTTCCAACAGTTGGAGAGTCAAGATGGTCATAACTCGGCTGCTTTTCGTTGGGCATGATCCACATAGGCTGGTTTTCGTTAGTTCAAGGGACCGAGGAGAAATCCTTCTCCATAAGGACCGAGGTTTTTCTTCCCGGCGCTGTTTGGACACCCTCCACCTGTTCTTTCTTCAGGACATCTACGACCTGCGGCCGAACGGCACCTGGCACCTGCCTGAACGGATCCATGAAGAGGAGCATGTCCCGACTTGACCGGACCAGAACGGCCTTCGCAGGGTTTTGTGCCCCCGGAACCCAGTCCTCGAACCCCTTGATGAACCCAGTCTGTGGACCTCCAAAAAAGCGGAGAAGGAAACCAGGTTTTGAGATGTTTTGAGTAGGTGGTGGGTTACAAGGAACTGCCTTGACTTTCTGAGAAGTCGAGACCGGTGGGTTTCCGCTGGATTTCGAGACCCCAGGTCCAGAAAGATGGTGGAGAGCAGTGCGGAGAAGACCATCGAAATTACCATGAGGCGCACGTCCGGCAATTGAACAAGGGGCCACTATGTTTATTGTATTTATATATATCTTTGTTTATTTTTTTAGAACCACGTTTCTGTTTTTCAACCCCTGCACTCGGATTTCTTTTTTTCCAATCCTGTCGGGAACCCCCTTGTTGTAACCCTTCCCAAACCGGTTTTTTCAACCCTGCAAACCGGTTTCTTTAACGCTTTTTTGACACTGCGAGGTGGGTAACCTTCACAACCTTTTGTCCAGTTTTGTAACCCAAACCCTCCCGGGGGGCTGCAATCAGGGCTGAAGCGCTTGATGGGTCTGACGGGTCAGATTGTGGTGAGGAAGATGCAGCGGCATGGTAGTAAGGCCAGGAGCCCCGTTCGTAGCGTCCTTGCTCCTAGGCTTGCAAAGGCACACTTCACAAATGCGAGCACGCTTCACTCATGGGTTTGCTCTGACTGCTTTCCGAGCAGAAGATTCACCACCTCCTCGTGACGGAGGATGCCCTGACCTCGGTGTAGCCAAGGTCGGGAATGGTAGGCTGCAGCGGCGTGCCCACTCTGTACTCCATCCAGACCCAACCGCATCGGTGCGCAGCTGCGCTCAACGCACTCTCACCGTGTAAAGAAGGCAATATACAACTACCCGTGCACCACACTGCTCAGCACACCCAGTTTAAATGCTGTTTTGGATTGCTTTTATGAACATACCGGCCCACCCTATTTTCGTGTCTCTACAGACAACAACCACAAACCTGCGATGTGTATACCGACTTGGGAGAGCAATGGCTTCCGCATCTCCATGACCACACAATCAGCTTGGTTTAGGAGGCGGAGTTCGTTATTGTTTGCCATAGCAAACACTGTACACAAAGCTGCTCACAGCACGCTGCTGCGGCATGTGCTTGCACCTCTGCCACATGCCTCGAATGGAAAAAGCTTTGCAAGATGCTGTTCACAAAGCAGGTGTTGTTGCCTATGTTGCACAACCCCCTGCTTGAGACCCATGGGCTTCCACCCCATTTGTTCCGACATGCTTCCATCTCCGTACAGCTGGCCTGCTTCACAGAAGCCTTGCACTTTCTACCACGGCCAGGCTTGTACTTTGCCGGCATTTGGTACCTGATCCGTGTCAAGTGCCACCGGTGCTGGCAACCGGGTCACATTGGCTAACCAGAAAACAAAGGTGCTTCAGTAGGGCAAAAGCTCTGCGTTGACTCTGTGCTTTGCGCACAATGCCATATACTCGTCCAAGCTCCGCTCCCACTGAGCCCTGAAAGGCTAGAGGGTCAAAAGAAAAGGGCCCAGGGCGCACGATTAAGAATGGCTGGAGGTTCAAAAGAAAAGGGTCCAGGGCCTAGGGTTCAAGAATCAGGGGGTCAAAAGAAATGCGTCCAGGGCCTAGTTGGAATCAACAAGTGGAAGAGTGGAAGGGTTGGAAAGAAAGGGTGGAGGGTTGAAAAAAGCAAGGTCGACGGTAAAAAAGAAAGGGCGGAGGGTTACAGTGAAAGGCGAAAGGGTTGAGGATTAAAACAAGGGGTGGTGTTAAAGAAAAGGGTTGGATTGTAAAAACGGGGTTCTCAGCGGCTACTGTTGGGGGGTTTGGTTGGTCACAATTCTTCAAGGTCTTCGCTGCAATGCGGACCCTCTATGCTATACTGAACCAAATAGTCAGGCTGTTAGCACCTGGGACTTCTGTCGTGAAATCAGGCAATAGCATTTTATTTGTGAGGGTAACAACCCTGGAAGTATGAACGCCTAACTACAGGTGCTATGAATTTCGGAAAGATTGCATATTGATTTATTTCGTCTCTAGTGCCTCCAGCTGCCTGGGTTGCCAGGCGCTGGTCTGGTGGAAATGCTTTTGTGCCAATCTCAGCTTGACCACATAGGGGTGGCATATTGATCAAGAGTCTACACTGGTTGAGCCCAGCTGCCTCCAGATCTGAGGTGCCCGGGTATCCCATGGGCCCCATGGCCATTCCCCAGCCTTTGGCGCCACCACAGGCTGCAAACGGTGTTTTGATGGCTTGATCAAGGGCGGTGTATGATTGGAAGGGGGTAGCTGGATCCATTGCGCCGCTGGATTTCCTAGATCGATTTGAATTGGCCTTGTATAATTTGCTGGATTTCTGCTGGCAAGCGGCTTTTAGGGCTTTGGCGCAAGCAGTTGTTTTGAATTTTGTTTTGGATCTGCTGGAGGTGCTGCCGTGGAAGAAGGTGGTCTGGAAAATCAAATTAATTAGTCTGTGTTGGCTATCAATTGGATGTCCAAACCTTTGCATTTTGGGTGAGTGACGCCAGAGTGGCATGGTTGGTAAACTGTATTGATGGCGCCTGAAAGGAAAGCACACGGCAGGCTAGCGGCTAGCAAATGAAATCGGCCTGGGAGCGGCTTTGGTTGCTGGCGTTTTCTTTTAGAAGGCGAAATGGTTCAGCGTCGGATTGCGGGACCCTGTCCTGCATTTCTCCCGGAAGCTGAAACCTCCCACTTCCTTGCCCTCAAGGCGCTGCGTCCTCCTCTCTCCAGCTCAGTTGCTGCCTCTGCCTGTTGCGAGGAGGTGGGCTCTCCCGCGCCAGGTCGACTACTGTGAGCTGGTGATATTAAAGTCTGTTAGTAAGTAGACCTCGTGCCAGAGGGAAATCTCTTTGGATGGAGCTGCCGGGTGGTGTGCTTGGAGATGTTCTGGTCTTGAGTCGTTTGGCCACGTGTTTGGGGGTGCCCGCGATACAGTCTGGTGCCGCGAACATGTGCTGCGAATCCTGGCCCTCCTTGCGTGGAGTTTGTCAGCTTGTCTTGGCTTTGCGGCCCCTGACTACCGCGCTGCCTCCAGAGAGAAGCTAGTTGATGATGAAGATGCGTTGAAGGTGCTGGGTGAAGAAGGTGATGTATAGGTGTTGAACATGAGGGGTGTTCAAGGTGATAGGTGATGAATTTGAACAGCGATGAAGGTGATAGGTGTTGAAGGTTAAAGTTGATGAAGGTGGTAGGTGACTTGGACATTCTTCTTGTGAACAACCATTTGCCACTCGCTTTCACAGTTTGAACTTTAGCCCGAGTAGGAGTATCGAGAGCCTTGAAAGAAGTCATGCACAATCAAAACCAGCTTGCATGGTGCCATGTTCAGGCTTGGAGCGCAGTACGGAACCACAGATTGTGCTGCGTCAAACCTGTTTCTTAAGCAAGTTAGTATGAGTTAGTGTATGCAGTGCTCCAAGGCGTGAAGAAAGTCCTTGACGTTGTTGAATCTTTGGACACGTCAACCTAGCCGTTCTTCCCTTGGAGACTCTGTGCGCATCCTTCGCTCTTGACAGCACTGGTGCACACGTGAGATGGTTGCATCAATCAAGCAAGTGAGTGTTTGCAATTCCAGTGTCTTTGCAACTCTCGAGAGGTATGCCACTAAGATTTGTGAAGAGGGACACACGCGTCGCTAGCGAGCGCTAACCGAGTAAGATGTTTCTTTCACAAAACAACTAATGCACATCTTGGTGAAGAGAGCCAAAATCCAATCCGCTGCGGAAATCCGATGAAAGCAGCAGATGAGAATCAAATCGTGTGGGACCTTCTGGAATGGGGCAATCTGGAAGCACTGAAGAAGCTGGTCTGAATGGATTGATGTAGTTGTTTAAAGATTTTCCCTCCTTTGTTGATTGTTTTTTGATTGAGAAGCGCTCAGACCTCCCAGAAAGTTGGCTTTTGTTGTAACGGCTTCAAGTTCTGGGTTCAATAGGAATGGATGCTTCAGATCTGCTGCTTGGGATGTCATTCCAAGGAAGTTCACCCCTGAGAACTTCGACTGGCGTGCCCTTCATCCGACTGAGAAGAATACCTTGCGCTTGGGCGACATCGAGGGTTTTGTAGTTGTCCATGTTGGGCCAAGCTGTCGAGGGGCCGGAGACCCTAAACCCTAAACCAACGCTTACTTCTTTTTTCTCTATCCCTCCAGGTCAAATTCTTCTCCATCTTCAGTGGTGTGTTCTACAAGAATCATGGGCAAAACACGTTTTAACCATCATCCTACACTGTCCAAGTCCCGAGCACTGCAACCCTTCGTTGGTCCAGTGAGTTGTTCAGGCTCATGGAAGGAGTGGCCTGCGGCTTGGCTGGTCCAAATGAAGCCTACTTGGACATCATCGAATGGCTGGTGCGCTCCGGCGCTGATGCCGCCCAAAGGACACCTCCCTCGAGCCAAGGAGTATGGCTGGGAGAAGGTGGAAGTGGGGAGTTGAGGTATGGTTTAAGATGCAGCAGCGCGCAGAGATGGAAACAAAGAGCTCATGCAACATCATACAAGCTGAATCTAGGTCAGTGAAGGATATGTGTTGTCAGCGAAAGTACGCCCTTCCAACATCCAGGATTCTTGAATCCCATTGCTAGCTCTCTTCCTATGGTGTTCGCAAAATTGTGAACAACATCATCCCATGTTCTTTTTTACAACCTCTTCTATTTGTGAACCAGCTATCGGCCAATAGAACAGAAGTCCCATAGACAAATCTGCTTTTCTTGGGTCCTGGGTGATTCCGTGCGTTCCAATACACAAGCGCATTCTCCCTCCAACAAACATGCATATACTCCAGCGACCGAAGTAAGAGCACTCCGACCACATGCGTTGCTGAATTGTGCGTTGCACAGCACACGCCGAGCCTTGCAGAAGCCACGCATTTGTCGTTCGCATTTGTCAATTGAACAAATCAGAATCTGCAGACGGATTGCGAAGCCTTCCGAAGCCTTGCTTTGACACGGGTTGTCATGATGCAGACGGATTCATGATGACATGAAAACCAGGACACTGGCCTGGTTTGAAAACCACTTGAGTCCGGGAGATGACCAGGTAGGTGTCACAACACAGGATGAACACCCTGCACTGTAAATATGGGGATGGGTCGTGACTCACCATGTGGCGAACGACCTTCCCGGTAGGTCAACCCTGCTTTTTGTTCTATGGCACCGGCCGCGCCAGGAAACTACAGTATCTGGTTGATTGAAGACCCAGACAAGACGAAGTTGACGGTGGCATACAAAGGACTGGAGTCAGGTTATTCGGTCATCATCCAGCACTCCAAAACATATGCCCCTTGTACCCCTTGTGCTGGACCATACCTGTTTAGTTCGTTTTCACACACTGCCCTTGGGTTCACATTGTGTATGCCTGAAACTCCAAGGCACAGGCCCTCAAACGCACGGGCCCAGCCACTGGAGGTGAAAACTCAGATTTCGGAGGCCTTCCGATTGGGGGATTGAAAGCCCGTGGTTTCTGTTTCAGCACTCCCGAAGCTTCAAGAGACGACTGTTGGAGTAGGAGTGAGAAGGGGATAGATCTGGATCCGTGGTGTAGGTATAAAAGAGAGAGAGAGAGAGAGAGATGAAGGAAAATCAGGCAAACACTGAGGGACTAAGTGGCCTGCCACCACATTTTTTTGAAACATAGAGCAGAGAACGAGAATCCGACACAATGAAGAAGACAAGACCGGAGAGTTGGTACACCTGGATGAAGGTGGGCTTTCACACTGTAAATGATGATGTCCAGATGGAGTGGAGGAAGTCCAGGATGAAGGAGGGTTTTCCGGATGACGCTACTGCTAGCCCTGCTTGCATGGTGATAAAGTCCTGGCCACTTCCTGCTGATCACAGACCATCCGAAGGGTCGAGCTCACAACGGAGGAGAGAATAAAGAAGGAGTAGATTCTGAAGAGGCAATTGAAGAGCGCCTGTGGGGACCAGGTATGAAATACAGGGACTTCGTTTCCAAGCCAAAGGTTTCCTCAAAGGCCAAGTTCCCAAGTGAAAGGCTGCCAAGCAGGAAGCGATAGCGCTTTCCTCAAGCCTCAAAAGCTTGAAACAGGGTCATAGTTACTCATAGCCGCACACACACACACAGACACATGCACACTTGACAAAACCTCGCAAGGATTCTGGGTGGTACCAGAAGTGCATTAGCCCTTTACAGCTACCACACTAAACCTTGGCTGCAAAACTGCAAGGTGAAGAGTCCGCGAATTGTTTAACTTGGGTGAGGAGGCAACTGAAACACAGGTATGTGGAAGTGGTGTCCCACTTCCAAATCCTCAGGTACGTGGCCAGCTTTGTACCCTGCCTGGTCCCTGCATGTGAACTAACATGTGCAAGAGCCCTTAAGAACAAGGTTGCACCCAGGCTACACACAATACACTCACACTATCTCACACTCATATATTTTATGATGATATAAAGCCGGCATGTCTATTTGACACCCCGCATTGATATGCAAAGGAAGGTAGGTGTCTTCGTTGGCACGTGGCCTTCCTTGAAAAGAAAACCAACATGTGAAAACAGCGTAATCTGCAGCTGCCACTGCAAGGTCGACGCACACAGAGACCCGACTTCCTCCGGATTTCCCTGCAGCCCTCCGACCTCCCCCCCCATGTCTAACCCTTGGCCCAGAGTGAGTTGCCCACGAGGCCACTCGGCGATCAGTTATTTGTTGGCGTGGAAGCGGGAACTTCAAGACAAAGCCGAATGGTCCGAAAACTTGGCATATTTGGACAAAGCCTTGGCTCGAATCACCACGGCCACGCAGCATATTCGGCCTGTGCGGGAAAAGGCTGGGCGCCTGGGTGGGACTTGGAGAGATGAACACGGTTTTTGGTGCGTTGGGTGGTATCATGCGCCAACTGACATGGATCTGAGGAAGGGGTAGATAAGGCGTGGGGCGTTGGAATGTTGTCGCTTCTGGGCGTGGAGCGTCTGGGGTTGCTTTGTTGGAGCAGCTCATTGATGCGTGTCATTGATTGAACGCCGAGATTTCAAATCCGTCGCTTCAGGTAGCCATCGATCAGAGCGTTGTGGAGCTTTGGGAAAGAGTCTTGGATGCCACGGCCTCTCACAATCTGACCTTTGAAACTGCCGACGGCCCCGTGACCGCTCACGCACATGTTTTGATGGAAGCATCGCCCGCATCTTGGCGTGGAGAAGAAGCCGAAGCTTCCTGTTGATTCAAAAAGGAGTTGGGAAATTGCAGGAACCTGTTTGACTGACAAAAAGGGGGAAGTCTGCCGTGGTCGCCGAACACCACCGCTCCATTTGGACCACGAATGTTGGTTCCAGTCCTGGAAGAGAGACAAACGAGGCTCCTGATGGTTCTGAAAATGAATGACTCGGTCCTTTAACTTGCTTGTTTTCGTTTTCATTTGCTGAGGTACTGAAGGCCATGTTAGATTCATCGATGAAGGAGGGCGAAACTCGACGAATTCAAGTCAAAGACTCTCCAAGTCGTGGGGTGTCGTTGTTCCTGGAGACTTTGCGCCTTCGCTGCACTTGGTTGTCAGGGTGAAGGTGAGGGTATAGGGAACACAAAGGCGGACATGACAGGACCACGCTCATGAACTTTCAATGGTAACAAGTCACTGTAGTGGAAAACACTTCTCAAGGTCTTTTGGCCGCATGAGAATCAAATTCGGTGGTGGGTTCTGCGTATTTTCCTGGTCTGGAAGGGGAATCAATGGCACCCCCAAAATCCCTCTTCCATGTTCCGCACCAATGGATGTATGTGTTTATGCATGTATGTATATATAATATACATTTTCCACTTAGATCACAGTACAGTTGTATGGCATCATTTGTATCATGAGCATTCATGAGACTTTACTGCAGCCCTTTTGAGTGTCAAGACAAAGTGCGTATGGTAGCGGAGCTGGGATAAGGGCAACCCCCTTTGAGCTCCAGAGAAAAGCCCCTAGGTCACTGGGATCCCGGGTGCGGTTTCGAGCCATAGAATTGGGGCCTTTGGAGCCCAAACAGCTGGACTGGTGAAGAATTGTTGTGAGCAACACTCTGTACCCAGTACATTGTGTCAAAGAGACATTAGTACAAGGAGAAGGTGGAGGAGATCAGAGAAATCCTTCAAGCAATAGCACAGAGTACGCTGGCAACAACATCAGCAGCTGAGGCGGTGAAGAAAGCAGTTGAGGACAAGAAGTCATCAGCGACAGGTTGGTCAAAATTGACAGCAACGCCCAATATCTTTGACTATAAGTCACAAGAAGAAGAGATTAAAGGCATTCAGAGTGTGGTCACGGGTCTTTGAGAAGTACCTGGGTGCAGTTGATGAGGGCTACATTGGACTTGAAGGAAATTCATGAGAAGCCAAGTGACAAGTTTGATATGGACTTGGCAACTGAAGCAGAGAAGACCAGGTGCATCAAGTTTTTTGGATTCGTAGCTTCATTGATGAGAGGAAGAGCGCTCCAATTGGTGAAAGCTGTGGAAGACTCCAATGGACTTGATGCCTGGAGGAGTTTGAATAAAGCTTTGAAACCAACTTCGAAGGCGAGAGGCTTAGCGTCTTGGGAGCAGCCACTACATGGTCCGCATTTTCAATGAACAGTGCACTACAACCTCAACTCTTGAAGCTTGAAGAAGTATTTGATGAGACAGTCAAGGCAGGGACGACAATTCAGGAAGAGTTGAAATCTGCTATTCTTTTGAGATGTGTAGGTGGCCACTGGATGTTGATCGCGTCCAAGATGCCAAAGGAAAAGGTAAGAAGGGCAAGAATGACCATCAGAAAGGCAAAGGTAAAGATACTAAGGGCAAAGGAAAGAAAGGAAAAGGAGATCAGAAAGGAAGGGACCGTGATCACAAGGGCAAAGGTAAAGGCAAAGACCAGAAAGGCAAAGGTGTGGCAACATGTTACACTTGTGGAAAGCCAGGACAGCTGGCTAAAGACTGTTGGAGGAACACTGTTCGACAGGTAGCAAGTGATCAAGCCCATGCATCTTCAGGAGGGGCATCAGTGACAACTCATACAGTTGGCCAACAGCATGCCAATGTGAGCCCACAAGTAGGTAGCTCAGCAGAGTCAAAACCAGTAGTCAGGAGAATTGAGAATAGTTAGCCAATCATCTTTGACTTGCGAGAGAAACACGACGAGCTAGAAGACCAAGGAATTCGAGTAGTTCACTTCTACATTGGAGATGATTATGATGATGATGATGATGAGCCAGAGACCCAGGAAGTTGAGGAGATGTCAATCTCAATCTCAGATGATAAAACTCATGGTGATGAGACCTGGGAAGAGAATGAGGATGTGGCCATCATTATTGACCGTAGCATTATTCCCTTTGAGTATGGCGGACTCAGAAACAAAGTCAGCAAGGGCAGTATGTCGGTTAGCAATTGACAGCCAGACTGGGTTCATTCATGTTGGGCCATCAGGAAGGAACGGCCAATTTCGCCTAAGTGTGCAAGAGTTGATGAATTTCAGTCAATTGTTGGGGTACTCAGCAGTCACCTACAGGAGTGGCAATGAACCCACAACAAGGCAAATCCTAAAGATGCTTATCATTGCTCGCCATAGTCTAGGACTCTCCACGAGATTAGTTAACTCAAAGCTTGGAGACCATTCATTTCTGTCAGAGAACACAGTTGACAGGGTGAGAAAATTTGCAGGAACTTTCATTGAAGGTGTGCAGTCAAGACTTGGTATCAAGATTGGATGTGCACTTTGCACTTGGGCAGCAAGACATGCCAGTTGGGTGCTTAGCAGATTTCAGCCAGTCAAAGGTGCAACTCCCTATTTATGAGCTTGTCTATGGCAAGAGTTACTCACGTCTCCTAGCAGAATAGGGTGAGACAGTTCATGGTTACATCAAGAGCCTCAACAAAGGAGAAGCGAGATGGCATCTATGCTTGTTCTTGGGGGCTTGGGAAAAGTCGGAAGGCAAGACACCTATATACTTACAGATGGAGTGTAGGTAGTGCTCAGCAAGTGTATCAGAAGAACAGATCAAGATTGGTCCAAATTCTTACCCATATACAAAAGCTTCAATGCCTTTTCATGGGAATATCAAGCCAACTTTGGAGACAGAACCATTGCCACCAAGAGAAAGAGCAGAAGCATTACCGGCAGCGCAGACACACATTCCCTCGAGAACGTGTAATGGTGAAGTTCAGAGTTGAAGTTGCAGAAGCAGTCGTGGCCAAGGCACTGGCAGGGAGATTCTAGCCCCGCTGGAAATCCCTGTTGAAGCAACGAAAAGAGATGGAGGCGAAAAGAAGCCAAGTGGAGAAGAGGCACCAAGTAAGAAGCAGAAAGTTCTCTTTACAGATGAGAACACGCTTGAGAAGGTGAAGGCATTCCCCCTACATCATTGCCAGCAGGACAGCCTAATTATACTATCTTCATTGAGATCACCACCAGCGCCATCAAGACCAGGAGAAGCAATTGAACTGCTTGAAGAGGAAAGTCCACTGAAGAAACTCAGGCCATCAGATGATTCAAGCAAGAAGGCCAAGATCAACATGGTGAACGTTGGAGGGGAAGATCTTTACCATGTAGATGAAGAGCCACCCCCAGTTGCAGAAGAAGTTGATGAGGGAGAGTGGGATGATGAAGAAGATCAATCAGATTTGGAAGAGGTAAATGGAATCAGTGAAGAGGAAGAAGCAAGAGAGGGAGAAGGAGCGTTTTCACAGGCCACCGACTGTGGCGCTGCTGCCGCTCTGGGCTCAGTCAACAACTTGGCGGTCTGTGCTTCCACCGCCCAAGTGAAGGTGGAATGCGCTGACAAGGTTGGTGACATGTCCATCCATGTTCATGACGCGCCCAATCAACCAAAGTTTTGTTTGAATCAAACAATAGAAAGCGATCGGGGCAAGTGTTGACGTTGGTCGCTTATCGTTTGTCGTTCGGTTTGTCCTTTCAGTGTTGTCCCCTTAGACCAACCGCCGAAAACGGGCATGTGGGGAGCTCCATGACAGATAGGGACTTGGCTCCTCTGCAGATGGACGCAGCGTCCAGGGAGACAAGACCAACCATGCGTTTAGATTTCGGGACCTGCGCGTCTTGTATGGATTTCCAGTATCGATCGGTCTCCTTGGCCGAGTCTTTCAGTTCTGAGAGGAGTGCCCTCACCTGCATGAATCATGGGGGATAAGATTGCTGCTGTTGGCATACATTCTTAAACGACTGTACACTGCTCAATCACCACCACACTGAAACGAGTCCATCAACTCACTGTGTCCACAAACAGGGCAAAAGGAATTCTGCGCAGACAGGGCATTGTGGAAGTGCGCCGCGGCTATGGACAATGGGTACAGACCGCCAAGTAGGAGAACCCCACGAAAAGTCATTGGGACATCCGCCGCGACTTGGCTGAGATTCCTACTTGGATGAACCGCGGGGTTGCTAAACCTTTGTCCCAGTTATAAGAGTTAGCTCAAAGCTTAACATATGTTTGAAGATGTGACATAGCAAGTTCATAAGCGGTTAACAAAAGCAGTCATGAAGCTGGGATTTGCTAAGCCAGCTAAGTGGTTAGGTGTTTTTCAAAGGCTTGTGGAGATGATGTTTCTTAAAAATACAATACAAGTTTTCATTGTATCACATAAAACAATAAACAACCAGCGCTAAAATAACCAATTCCTAAAACCCTAAAACCTTACAGTATAAATAACAATCCCGGTAAAAAACACTTAGCGCGTGCCTGCAAGGCTACAAGCTATAGCGTGTGCCCGCAAGGCTACGCGCGATGCAATTTCAATGAAACTACAGACAGTTTACGCAGATGCCTCAGGGTTTTGCCAATCATGGCTACACATCCTCCAAGTTTGCAAATCTGCCAATGATGGCTACACACTGTTGTATGGTAAACGCTTTGGCCAAAAGTGGCAACGCACCATGCAATCCGAATGAATAGTGTTTTGCAAATGGCAAGCTACATGTGAGCGATCATTAGAAGTGTTTCATGCCAAATAAATTGCGCCAAAGCCTGTACACAAACTTACCAACTCTGACCTGCAACACTTGCTCTGCAAAAGCAATCAGGACAAGCGTGTCATGTTTCTGTTCACTGCCTGTGCTCCATAGGGATGAGCGTGACAACTTTATTGTCTTTGGCAAGAAATCTACGTACCAAAGGGCAAGCAGTATCTGATAAATTGAGCAGCTGAGGGTTGTGTGCAGGTTGCTATTTGCTGTAGGTTTTTGCATCTCAAGCAAACCCCACACCTCCACCAAGGCAACACTCCTTGGATGGGGTCTGCCCATACAGTGCCAAGCTGCTCCTTAAATTTGTTAGTCCTGCGCTGCCTTTCCAATTTGCTCGCACTGGTCCACTATGGCAGATCGAATTTGGTGGATGCGCGCAACGGGCGCTGACTTTCCAAATCCTGGCCGCGGCGAAGGAGTATTTGAAGGAGCAGCCGGATGACAGCGTCAAGGTCTTGAGCGATTTGGAAGCCCACCAATACATCCGGGTCACCGCAACAGCGCCGCCCCAACAGCCTCAGAAAGGACCGGCAGACATTGACGGCGTTGGCGTGGTGGAGAGGGCTAGAGCTCATCTACCAAAAGCTCCAGGCCAAAGTCCGCCGCAAAACTTTACCGAGCCTACCCCAATTACCAGTCTGGAGCTTTCGGGGGCGCAGTCAGGGCACATCTTGACAAATACCAGATGAGAGCCGTTTTGGGAAGTTTTGAGTGTGTGACAACGCACAGTTCAGACGTCAATCATTTGGTTTCCTCTTTACCCATCAATACAATTCAGGGCATTGCGAAATGGTTAGCGCCGGTTTTGAAGCTTGCTGCGTGGGCAACTAGCCGTCCCGACGACAATAGCTAGCGTGAAGAGAAACGTGCTGCTATTGAAGAACCGGTGCTCAAAGATTCAGCAGAGGAATCAGGCGGTGGGTACACTCAGACGCACAGTTAGGCCACTCACTGACCAAGCCTTCCGACAAGGGACAGCTTCAGCTTTTCTTTCTGTTGGGATGAAACCTATGGATTCTTGATTTTTCTGTTTTTGTTAATATGCCCACCAGAGCAAATTCGGTCATGCAGAATTCTGTAACTCGTTTCGCAGTCCAGCACTCAAGGCCCCTTTCGTGGCTTTGTAGAAGAGGAGCGTTCGCATTTGTGCAGACTCCTTGCTCGGTTGATCTTTTCACATACATACACTCTTTACATATATATATATATTTATTATTGTGAATGCATGTCCATTATGGTATTCGCACCCATTTTTTTAGGGGGAAGCCTGGTGGGCCACGTGTCTCTTGACAAGACCAAAACACGTTCATGCAGACGAGTTTTCACATCGTAGGCTGAGGAGGTTGCCCGAAGCCTGACATAGCACGCATTTCGATACATATTTCATCAATTTTCATCATATTTCTACACCCCAGCGTTTCAGCCTATTTGCTTAGACTCAAGCTGATCCTTTGAGGTATACAGTATACGGTCTGTTTCAGGTCCATTTGCGCGGAGGAATGACTTACTGTATTTTGCTTCCCCTCCACCTGGGGGGGGGTGGACTCTGCAAGGTACACTTGCTCGACTCGCAGTGAGCCCAACCATGAGACGGTGCTGATCGCGTTGGACTTGGCGCATCGATGGCAGGTGTACGGCGTGGTGAACATCTTCGCGGAACTTCTGCAGGTGCCTTGTTTGTCCGGACATACCTGCTGTATTGCCTTCAATTACTAACGGTCCCTGGTTTCAACCACAACAGGATCACCAGCCTTTGCAACAGTTTGCTCATGCCAGCCGCGCAGGTTCTGGTTTTCAGATATTGGAACTTTGAACCTTGAATTTTTTTTGATATTTGACTTTTCCGAACTGGAATATTTTGATGGTGGGATTAAATTGCATTACTTAGGCGTTTTTAACACCAAGGTTTCTTTAGGGTTTGGGGCAATTAGATCGTACGTCGTACAAAGCAATTCCCCAGTGTGTGCACGTGTGCGTGTGCGTGTGCGCGTGGGTGTGTGGGCGTGGGCCTCGGGGTGTGCGTGTGCGTGGGCCGGGCGCTTGTTCGTGTGCCAGTGCAAGTGCGAGTGCGTGTGCGTGTGCTAGTAATTTTTGAGCGTTTGCCTTGTGGTGGGGTATGTCCGGGTTTGTGTTGCTTGTGATTTCAGTGTTTCTTTACGATCTTGTGATTTGGTTTGGTTGGATTCTTGACTCGTGACAGCGTCCCAGCTTGTATCAGCTTGTGTTCTGAACCATTTCTCGTGTCTAAGCTCCCGGACCTGAACTGTAAGCTCCGCAGTGGGCACTCCCGGACCTCTGGATTTTGTTTTGAAAGCTTTTGTCACTGTCTCGGTCGCCCTGTTTGGCAGCTCGCATACGTGGAGTGGGTGGACTTCGGCTGTTGAACAGTTCTCCCTCGTTAGATTTTAGTTCACCCTTGAACAGTTCACACGGCGTGCTTTCACAAATTTCAGATCAGCCACTACAGCTTTCTAACAGGCATCCTGATTGACTCTTGATGTCGGTTGCGATCAAAGCTTTCCTCCCTGAACATAGCGTGCCAATTGTGATTTGCATATGTCATGTGTGATATCAGCAAATACAGCTTTTTTGCAAGCATCCTGATTGGTTTTTAACAATCAACCTGACAAAAGGTTGCATCCCTTCACCTGAGCAAGCTCGCCCATGCAGTGTACCCAAGTTGACCTGATGTGACTTAAGCCGCCCTGATGTGACTTGCAGTGTACCCAAGTTGTAGATATGACGAAAAGAACGTGAAGATGTGACGTGAGACTTAGTATCTCTTGATTTGTGATATCGGGAGACGTCTCCTGTCGACGTACCTGCAGCCGGTTAATGTACGCAACACTTTCTTATTGTTCCAGGTCTTCCAGGTCTTAGGTCGTCTTGCACTAATCGGCTAATGCAGTACCTAGGTCGTAAAGTGTCAATGCATCTTTGGTAGCACTCTGAACTGTGCTCTTGCGAGCTCTTTCTCAAGTGTGTGTGCGCGTGTGAACCTTTACTACAAGTTGCAGGGTCGTGATGGCAAGAAGACATGTGGATGATTTTGGCAGTCGTTTGATGCTGACACTTCTTGGAGCCTTTTCGCTCCAAAGACTGTTTGGCGCTCATCTGTTTTTTTCAGAGGAGATGATCACAGATGCCAACTTTGCAGCCATTGCCGAAGCGGCGGTGCTCAAAGATTTGGAGGGCGTGAAGAAGGCGCCGCTGGAGAGGGGGGAGCGGCCTCGACAAAAAGAACGACTACTCAGGTGCTGTGAGGTCTTTGTGAGTTGGTGAGTCCTGGTGAGTTGGGCCTTAGGGGTTTTTCGAGGCCGATGTGTGAAGGACCGCTGTTTCAACGGATTGGACCTTTTGGACCCAACACGTGGACAAAAGAGACCGGTCTCCCGCCACTGGTCCCCACGTGACCATGTGGAGTCCCAACCTCCACTTTGACACAGTCCCTCAGACTTGTTTTTACTAGCTTCTTGTTACTACTAGTAAGGCACTTGTTACTACTAGCGTGGCACTTGTTACTAGTAGTAACAAGAAGCTAATGTAAATTTTAAGAATCAAGCCATGTGGAGTGGGGAATGTCTGTGACCATTGTACGGACCGCTGCTGCGCTGAAGACTGGCTGACCCCAGACATTCCTTGAACCAAGACACAAGAGGGAGCTACTAGTCATTAGATGTTGCCGACTTCATCTCTTCGGTTGGGCCCAGCTCAGTCTCCAACTCGGGTTCGCCGCTGGCACTGGACCGGACGGTGCGGGTCGGTCTCCCTTGCGGGCCGCCGGCAAGGTGTGCCGAATTCATGGCATGGAATCGCGAGCGGTGCAGGACCGATGTGTTGTGCACCTCTGGTGCAGGTGGAGGGGTGGTGAGAGACTCTTCAGTTTCATTTTTGTTACTACTAGCTTCTTGTTACTAGTAAGGCACCTGTTACTACTAGTAGGGCACTTGTTTCTACTAGCTTCTTGTTACTACTAGTAAGGCCCTTGCTCCTAGTAGCGATGCACTTGTTCCTAGTAGCGTTGTGTTGAAATGGTCTTCAGGAGCGACTCAAGAAGGGTCTTCTTCCAAAGATGCTACAGGATTTGCTGGGACACAAGGCCAGATAGGGAGAGGAGGGCGGTAGTGCAGAGATGTAGAATGTGTAGTTCACATGGTTCTTTATATAAGGCGAAAGGCGATGGCATGAGGCTGCGAAAGCATCTACGACCAAATTGAGAATGCATAAATCCTTGCTTGTCAAGCCACCAAAAAGTGATCTTGGAGCTTTCGTGCTGAAAGCCGCCGGCACGCTTTTAGCTTGCAGTATGTTTGAAGCGATCCTGCTCTGACCTGGCCCCTCTCCTTCTCCTGATGCTCTGGTATGGTCCCTCTATTGCAGATTTGTCCTGCTCTATTCCTATGTCCTTCCATCCTAAAGCTGGTCTTCAACAGCTACAGCTAGATGACCTCCACAAAAACCTAAAAACAATATATACCGTTCTTCCAGCTCTGGCTGCTCAAGTGCCAGTGATCGTGATTGAGTCGGAGCTGATCTTCGCTCACCAAGACATCTACCGACGTGTGCGTCATGGCCCGTTTACCGTGTGAGGCTTCACCTGCTGCATCCTGCCCCAAGAAGCGCCGGAGGTTCTGAGGGTCTCCCGACGCACCGTCCCCGGTCGCGGCGGACTGCGAAAAGCCACGGGACCGGCGGACTGCAAAAAAGGAGTCGCCAGCCGCGAAGGGGCAAAGAGGGGTGAATTCACCGGCCAAGAGGTTGTCATTTGGTGGGCTTTGACAGTATTTCAGTCCATCCCAGTCAGGAGATCTTGGATCTAATCAACCGCCATCCCCGGTTCTATTGATGGGTGACGAGCTCTCCATCAACAAAGCATAGAACATCATAGAACTGTCCCACATGGCTGTTTACAAAGTTTGGAGACTACTTTGGAGATGAACACCTTGCAGTTGCTGGCCCCATCCCCTTTGATCGGCTGCTTTTGACAGTTCTCCGCACACCAAGACCACAAGACCAGCAGTGACATCAAGCAATCTCATGGTGACGAATTCAGAGGGCGAAGACAGGTACTTCCTCTGAACTGCAAGAAATCCGCCAGAGCCCAGCATAAGTAGGTGTCCCGTAGTCCGACTGCCCTATGATCCACTTGACTTCCAGGAGTCAACTTGTTCGAACGAACATACTTTTTCCTGGTTCAACTCTTGGCTGATGGGACTGAGGCCGCTGCAGCAGCTCGCTTCCAAGGGGCGGGGCTGCTAGCAGTTTCTGGTGGGTGTCAGGGGGGTCCTCAGAAGGAGTTAAAGTGACCAAAGTTGTTGGATTTGCCGATGGTGGGTCATGGGAGATTCATCCTTTTGAGGGGGGTCGACGTAAGAAGAAATGAATGTGGCTTTGTGCTCAACATTGCTCATTCCTGAACAGAACCCCTGTGTAGGGGGGTGCTCGAGGATTTTCGGGCCTAATCCCAGATTTTGGCGAATGCCTGACAGGCCATGCCGACTGCTTCTGTCAATGCCGTGAATACACAGGCGGAGCTTCACTGAGAGAGCATCTACAAGACAATTTTGAGACCTTGAAGTCGCATGCCATTTTTTCTATTGTCTCAAGCAAGTGGACTCACCGATTCACCTATACAGAAGATACACATACACATAATACCAACGTAAATTCCTTTGCACTCCAAAGAGGACTGAACTGTCATATCGAGAGCCCGTCGCGGTAACCCTTTTCGGCTTTCGCAGGCTTTGGACGATCAGGTTGGATGGTTTGGGCGGGATCCTAGCGGTTTGTACAAGACGACTACAGGTAGGGCTGTTCTGTTTTGTGTTACGTCCCCATTATAGTATATAATATTATTGGTTGAGAGTTTCGAGGCGCTGAGAATGAGGCATTTGCACATATCACAGGAGACATCGCTCTGATGCTTTCCTTTTGTGGGCAGTTGCAGCTGTTGCACTAGGAGCAAGGACGCTACTAGGGGCTCCTGGCCTCGCTACTAGGAGCAAGGACGCCACCAGAGGCAGGTTCTGCTCTTTGAGGTCTCTTGTCTCGGAGACGAATTCATAGTTTTTCACTGGGGCGAGTCGGATCCTCCAGTTGTCATCAGGTGCATACCGTGCAGCTCAGGTTTAGTTTGAAGACATACCTGGGGTTTGACTATAACATTTGGAGTTGGCCATCTCCAAACTCCTCCATCCCTTGTATAAACCCAACACATTCTTCTACGAACTTGGACAGGGGAAGTCTTGGACAACAACCGTTACGATAGGCCCATTGAAACAGAAACAAACGGACCATTTGCAAGCCCTTTTGCGATTCCTCTTTGGCTTCAACCAGCATTGATAGCTATGAGTTCAAATCTTCTGAGCAGTCGGAATGGTTGACCCTTTTTTCGGAATGCTTGGAGTGTCCTATCCCCTGACATGGCCGTGCATGACATGTATACCCTTGCTCGCCTTGCCCCTGTGTGAAAGCTCCTCTGTCCAAGCTTTTTCCAAGAACCTGAGTCGATCTTCCAAACTGAACTGGTGCCCGCTTTGCATCCCCTGACATGGAGAGATTTATGGTGGCCCAATCTTCGGGATGTGTGGTCGTCTAGTCTATCGGCGGAGATTCACCATGAGTCCTTTTGGAAATTCACCAGGAGCACCAGGAGTACATAGAGGCCAAGGAAAGAGGGTTTTACACCTGTCCGCAAAAAGTGGGTCTTCCCCATCAATTGATCAGGCCAACCAACGACTGGGGCGCTTGGAGGGTGCTTTGTTGGCGTTGAAGCCACAGATCGAGGTGGGTGGCCATTTGCGCGGTTCAGGGCGCGTGGAAAGACGCCAGACCGTGGCGCGGCACAGGAGCGTCACTTTTTCTCGGGATTTGGATGGGGCTGTTTGTCCCAGGTTGAGGAATCATTTCCACCCCTTTTATAAGGTTATTTCTGGGTTGAAACAGACCAACTGCGACCTGTGGGCCGTTCCTCCAAGCTGCAGGCGATGGTTGCGATTCAATCGAAGCTGACTACGCAGGTGCGAGCAATATTGGGCATGCAATCGTAAACGGGTTGACTGGACAATGACAAGGGGAACCCGACGGAGTAGGAGGGCACTCGACTAAAGTAGGGTGCTTCTACGTATGCACACGTTCAAGTTTATCTATATATTTGAACATGAAGACCAGAGATTGTTGGGAGATTGATCCATGTTTTGTCCGAGCTTGCGCCTGTAGAACTTTGCAGGCTGCATCAGACATCATAGTGCCAATTTCAATGTTCCTTCAGCATCCGAGTGTTTATTTTTCAACATTTGAGTTATTCCCTGTAGCGCTTGGAAAAAGCTGCCATATGTTGGAGATCGCTGCTTCTAAGTATATAGACCCCAAATAGATAGAAAAGTCGATCTCACAAAAATTGTATTGGACACCGTGCCACTATCTATTTGGGGACCACGACAATACAAGGCTTAGAGGCTTCCATTTTCCTTTGCCCAGCCCACCCGGGGCACAATCAGCTCGTGCGTGCGTGATTGCCGGGGGCCACCGAGCAACGTTTGGAGCACCTTTTGTGTTTTGCAACGCGACGTCGGAGAGCTCAGATTAAGACCCTGGCTTCACACCATGCTTATATAATTTGCCCCGTGAACGGCCGCATATCCATGTCAGATGGTGCAACAGTACCACGACTCCTTCACTGAGGGTAAGACCGGGTAAGACTTCTCAACTTCGTCGGGTCAGAGTTCTCCGTTTTTGGAGCGAGAGTGCAAGTGAGTTGGTTCTTATCCAATCCCTTTGAGCCTTTGAACAGATGTATTTCTCGTGGCTGACAGGTTCCAAACCATGCGAACAGCAATCCACAAGCAGCTCCCAGAGGCGAGGATCTCGCTGATTCCGGGTTGCTACTCTGCTAATTCCGTCCAAACGAGGTAGGAGCTCTCCACTGGAAAACTTCAGAGATGGCAGGTTCGCATGAAGTTGGGAGTGTGACTGTCCCAATGACCTCCCGGCTTCTATTGGAAAAGAATGCTTAGACAATCAAGTTAGGAACATTCAGATGTACTCAAACCTTTCCAAACATTCAGAGAATTCATTGGTCATTGTTGGTGTCATTTTTAGGTGCTTAACTACTGCCATTGTGCTTCCGCTCCCGGTCTCGGTGTTCCGCGGAACCGCCGTCTTCTCCAAACGACGAGGTGCTCAAACCCCGGGAGCTGAACTCAAGGTGCGTCTCCGACGTCTTCACGTCACCCGCGCGGGAAACCCCCGGGGCGTCGAGTCCCTCGGTTGTCCGGTGACGCAGAGCCCGTTGCTCCGCTGTTGCTTCCTCTTCGGATCCGACGGATTGGGCGGAAACCCAGCGAATTTGTCGGCAATGGCTTCACACAGTACCCTCAACTGTAGCAGATATGCTATGAAGAAGAGGTGATTCATGTCGAAGATCTGGAAAGGGCTCTGACAAAACTCGGTTTGATGGGCTTGAAACAAGGTCTTTGAGAATGGAAATGGTGGGTCTGTCAGGTGGTTCGGGATTTCCCCATGAATTCGAACAGGAGCTTGGATGGACATCATCTGTGGACAATTCACCTGTCTTGCAATCTCTTTTGCTTTCCTGAGAGCTTCTTGCTCCTAGTAGTAAGGCCAGGAGCCCCCAGTAGCGTCCTTGCTCCTAGACTCCTAGTAGTAAGGCCAGGAGCCCCTAGTAGTGTCCTTGCTCCTAGTAGTAAGGCCAGGAGCCCCTAGTAGCGTTTCTTTGTTGGATCAAGCGAGTGAGGAATCACATGCTTCCTTTTTGGAGTTTTTTCTGTCACGCTGGGAGGTTCCACGGGAGCGGATGGGGGGCTCTCCCAGCGGTTGAGCCCTCTCACCTCCACCAGCACCAAGCCGAAAGCCAACGTACCACAAGCGAACGTCAAGACCTCCAAGCTCAACCTAAGCAGAACGACTTGCGGAGGTTGCCCACTTACAACTCCCAACTCCTTGACATTCAAGGGCACATGAGATTTTCCCAGTGCTAGAGTCTCAAATCGGGCAACTGGGGAACCACTCCCATTTCCGAATCCGCTGGAATCCGGTGCAAACTCATGGGCTTCCGAGTCTTGTGGCTCAGACCAGCAATGGCGATGCATGTGAAAGAGGCACCGGTTTGACAAGTCCGACTCACTTGCTAAAAGTCACTGAAGTTTAGGACAAAAGTGACAAAAGATTCTGGTATCGGGAATCACTTTGACTTTTCGACTGCAGCTAGCCCGCCCAGTCTTATTAATCCTAGTCGCTACAAAGCAAGGCAGATGGCAGGATGTAGCCAGCTCTGAGGCTGTGACGTCCCACGACCAGCGAGAAACAGGACGTATGAGTGTATGAGTTGACTTCTGCCAGTGGTGAAGTCAGACCGTGTAAGTGTACAGGAAGTTGAAACGAAGCGCCATTTGACTTGCTATGGGAATCTGCCACTCAGATGGGACAGCAGAGACTTTGCGGCACGTTGTGTCTTTCTGGTCCCAGGGTGATCTATTCTTGCGCTTTGTTTTGGGGTGCTTTGTGTTTGCTCCTTTCTGGTTTGGTCTTCTGTTTTCTTAGGTTGTTGCCATCCGGAGCCTTCTCAGCCCGGTCCGGTACAGGTGGGAGGCGCAGAAGGCCTCCATTTGTACCACTCCAAGTCTGGATCGGTCCATTTCGGTTTGGCTCTCGGTGTGATCGACGGCTGAAGATATCGTTCCACTA